GCCACACCACCAGACCAGACACAAGTTACAGAATTTGACATTGAGGACAACTTCGAAGATCATGACATTCCTACTATTCAACTCAATATGGAAGAGTTAACTCAGAATTTGCAGAAAATTATGCAAAAACAGATGGAACTTCAGGAGGGTGATATGTCAAAGGCGCCGGTAGCTTTAACTCCAGCAGCAGCTTCAATCCCTATGCCTAAACTTAAGAATGTGAACCGACTCAAAACGGAGCATCAAGTGTAAGCATACACTTTGCTTAATCGTGATTAATGTGCCACCACTTAGGAAACAACTAATAAAGTCGATTAGTGTAAGCCTACTATTCATTAACTTTTTGAGAGATGGAAGCAAGTTTCTAGTGTTCCATAAAATTAAAGACAATTATACTTATTGATTTTAGTTACGAGGAGCGTGACATTGCATATGATAATTCTTGAGAATATTATAAATTATTTTCCCTTTCTACAGCTATGAGCTTCCAGATTCACATGAATTTGACATTGAGGACAACTTCGAAGATCATGATGACATTCCTACTATTCAACTCAATATGGAAGAGTTAACTCAGAATTTGCGGGAAATTATGCAAAAACAAATGGAACTAGAGGAGGGTGATATGTCAAAGGCGCCGGTAGCTTTAACTCCAGAAGCAGCTTCAATCCCTATGCCTAAACTTAAGAATGTGAACCGACTCAGAACGGAGCATCAAGTGTAAGCAAACACTTTGCTTAATCGTGATCAATGTGCCACCACTTAGGAAACAACTAATAAAGTCGATTAGTGTAAGCCTACTATTCATTAACTTTTTGAGAGATGGAAACAAGTTTCTAGTGTTTCATAAAATTAAAGACAATTATACTTATTGATTTTAGTTACGAGGAGCGTGACATTGCATATGATAATTCTTGAGAATATTATAAATTATTTTCCCTTTCTACAGCTATGAGCTTCCAGATTCACATGAATTTGACATTGAGGACAACTTCGAAGATCATGATGACATTCCTACTATTCAACTCAATATGGAAGAGTTAACTCAGAATTTGCGGGAAATTATGCAAAAACAAATGGAACTAGAGGAGGGTGATATGTCAAAGGCGCCGGTAGCTTTAACTCCAGAAGCAGCTTCAATCCCTATGCCTAAACTTAAGAATGTGAACCGACTCAGAACGGAGCATCAAGTGTAAGCAAACAGTTTGCTTAATCGTGATTAATGTGCCACCGCTTAGGAAACAACTAATAAAGTCGATTAGTGTAAGCCTACTATTCATTAACTTTTTGAGAGATGGAAACAAGTTTCTAGTGTTTCATAAAATTAAAGACAATTATACTTATTGATTTTAGTTACGAGGAGCGTGACATTGCATATGATAATTCTTGAGAATATTATAAATTATTTTCCCTTTCTACAGCTATGAGCTTCCAGATTCACATGAATTTGACATTGAGGACAACTTCGAAGATCATGATGACATTCCTACTATTCAACTCAATATGGAAGAGTTAACTCAGAATTTGCGGGAAATTATGCAAAAACAAATGGAACTAGAGGAGGGTGATATGTCAAAGGCGCCGGTAGCTTTAACTCCAGAAGCAGCTTCAATCCCTATGCCTAAACTTAAGAATGTGAACCGACTCAGAACGGAGCATCAAGTGTAAGCAAACAGTTTGCTTAATCGTGATTAATGTGCCACCGCTTAGGAAACAACTAATAAAGTCGATTAGTGTAAGCCTACTATTCATTAACTTTTTGAGAGATGGAAACAAGTTTCTAGTGTTTCATAAAATTAAAGACAATTATACTTATTGATTTTAGTTACGAGGAGCGTGACATTGCATATGATAATTCTTGAGAATATTATAAATTATTTTCCCTTTCTACAGCTATGAGCTTCCAGATTCACATGAATTTGACATTGAGGACAACTTCGAAGATCATGATGACATTCCTACTATTCAACTCAATATGGAAGAGTTTACTCAGAATTTGCAGAAAATTATGCAAAGACGGATGGAACTACCGGAGGGTGATATGTCAAAGGCGTCGGTAGCTTTAACTCCAGAAGCAGCTTCAATCCCTATGCCTAAACTTAAGAATGTGAACCGACTCAGAACGGAGCATCAAGTGTAAGCAAACAGTTTGCTTAATCGTGATTAATGTGCCACCGCTTAGGAAACAACTAATAAAGTCGATTAGTGTAAGCCTACTATTCATTAACTTTTTGAGAGATGGAAACAAGTTTCTAGTGTTTCATAAAATTAAAGACAATTATACTTATTGATTTTAGTTACGAGGAGCGTGACATTGCATATGATAATTCTTGAGAATATTATAAATTATTTTCCCTTTCTACAGCTATGAGCTTCCAGATTCACATGAATTTGACATTGAGGACAACTTCGAAGATCATGATGACATTCCTACTATTCAACTCAATATGGAAGAGTTTACTCAGAATTTGCAGAAAATTATGCAAAGACGGATGGAACTACCGGAGGGTGATATGTCAAAGGCGTCGGTAGCTTTAACTCCAGAAGCAGCTTCAATCCCTATGCCTAAACTTAAGAATGTGAACCGACTCAGAACGGAGCATCAAGTGTAAGCAAACAGTTTGCTTAATCGTGATTAATGTGCCACCGCTTAGGAAACAACTAATAAAGTCGATTAGTGTAAGCCTACTATTCATTAACTTTTTGAGAGATGGAAACAAGTTTCTAGTGTTTCATAAAATTAAAGACAATTATACTTATTGATTTTAGTTACGAGGAGCGTGACATTGCATATGATAATTCTTGAGAATATTATAAATTATTTTCCCTTTCTACAGCTATGAGCTTCCAGATTCACATGAATTTGACATTGAGGACAACTTCGAAGATCATATTCAGTACTGTTTTTGGCGAGGTATGTGCACATGTCAGACCTTGTTTTTATTCTAACTTCCTTCAATAATGCACTATATCAAGATGCAGATGTTTTAATCGAAGTTAGGTAATTTGAGTGCGATTCCAATCAAGCCAGTATAGCTGCTTGTCTCGAGATTCTGCATTCCTAATGAGGAAAGGCTATAAAACCACTAATGAAAATTAAATAGTTAAACCCAATTAAATGAACCCTCAAAATAAGCTTGTTAAGCCCCGTGGTAATAAATGAACTGGGCCAAATACAAAAGAAACTTAAACGACATAAGTGGAAGGATATCCCCCAGTTCATGTTTCACACTTGTTTTCTATTTGAATAATATCTTTCCAAAGTGAAAAAAGCTCACATGCAATAATTTTATGCGCCCCATAAAGGAGACCATGTTTCTATTTCATGCTTTTCTCCACTGAATGATTTTATTCTTTACTCCAGATTTCTCTAGTTGGATAGATACGTAAACTAGATCACAGACGATTGGTCAAGTTAAACCATAAAACTTGTTAATTTTAAGCAAATACATCCCATGGAATAGGTATTTGTCAATTGGTACTCATTTTAGCAAAAGCAAGAGTCTTACACCATTCACATGTGAGCATATACTTAGCATCTTACCAACAAGCTAATGACAGTTGTACACCACCGTCTCTGGTCATCAAGATAAGTGTTCTGCCATTATATTATATAGTAGCTTCATTTATGTCGAGTGACACAGAACTGGTGTCTATTCACAATCTTAGGATTATGTCCTAAAAACTTCTCCTGGGGTTTGCACTCAAAATTACTTTCTTCTTGTGTTCCAGGCTTTGTCTGTGTAAGGGGATTTGACCGGAAGACGAGAGCACTGCGTCCTCTCATTGCCAGACTTCATTTCCCAGCCAGTAAGTTAAAAAAGGTAAAGTGAAGGACGGGTGAGAATTAGGTGTCATCCCGCTCACCATAGCTAACAGTAGGATTGTGTAGAAACAGCAATGGCAGGCCTGGAATCAGAACACTATTCTTCACAGTGCAAAAGGAAATGAAATCAGCGTACCGTATTCATATAATGAAGGGAAATAGGCTCTGTAGAATGAAATCAGAATATTCCTGCTCGAACAAGAAACATTTCGTTTCTGTTGACATAGAAGCTGAAATAGAATAGAATTACATGTCTTTCTTCTAATTTATTATTACCCTTTAAAAAAAAAAAAAAAAAAATTAGATATGTCATCTTGATTGCTGGAGTCTGTATTATAAATGGTGCAGAAATGCAGTACTCCGCAGGGAATATGCTCGGCTACAGTGATTTTTGAACTGGCTAAGCTTAAAAAATTTATGTATAAGCAATATGTTACCGGACGGTTACTACGTTGTTAACATGTATACGCAAGTTGAAATAAAAAGGGCTCGACTTCTATAGAATGCAACAGTCAAGAATTAGATCAGAGCTCCACCAAGGAATTGTCAGGAGACACGGAGACGAATTTGGAGAAAGAAAAGTTTTACTAGTTTCATTTGTTGGGGGTCCAAGTGATACCACTTTTTGTTAACAATGCACCGAACAAAAATGAAATCCTCGATGAACAATCTATCGACATTTATATTCAAGCAACACAAATCTAAATTCATATAAAAAAGTATGTTTTTGATGTTATACTTGAAAGAATGAATCTTGGCAAAGGGGGTTTATTTTTTATCGATGGACCTAGAGGTACTGGTAAAATCATTTTAGATCATGCACTCCTAGCAATGGTATGATCACATCGGATGATGGCACTTGCAACATCAACTTCATGTGTAGCAGCATCAATAATGAAAGCATGTAGAACTATCGATTCAAAGATTTAACATTCCACTTCAGACAAATGAATGGAAAATCTTCAATATTTCATGCATCAGAATTGATTTGATATGCCAAACTAATGAAGTACTAATGACAATCCCAACGGTGGAAAGAACTCACAAGGAACGTATTAGAAAATTCGTCCCTTATGAGGCGTATTGTTCGGGTAACAGAGAACGTGAAGAATTTGCAGTCAATTGAAGGCGAAGAGAACCAATAGACGTAACTTGAAATTAGAGAATATAATAGGTTTTTGCTGGCTATATAATTCGTTACATGGTTTACTGTACAATACATTTTGATCATTTTCCTACCTTTAACTGACCAAAAAAGGATCGAACCCGTAAGCAAAGCAATGGAAGTCACACTCAAAATGTTATGACTTGTGACTGCTATGAAGCCCAGGAATCACTCCAAATGCTATCTCTGCCTCTTTTCTACAGACCTGTAGGCCTCAGTCTTTTGTTTTAGCTTCCTCTTCACCCCCTGCGCTTTGTTAGGCAGTGCCACATTTCCAACCTATATATGAAACAAGTTGTTAGTGTTTATCGAAGGCCTAGCAGAATAAGAAATTCGCTGAAAGGCAGCCAAATGTGAGACTGTTTGGTAACACTCAGTAATTTGTGGTGGCTACTTGTTTCATAACAGGGTGAATAAAGCGCACTTCTAACAAAAAACAAGCACAAAGACATGATAGTCAGGTAAAGATACTCGATTAGTATAGGCAATAAAGAGATGGCTAGATCTCATCTGAGGTTAAATCAGGGATAGGTATCCAATGGCTACGATAGCACTACTAGTTAGATGGTTCTCTTTGTAGTTCTAATCTGATTACAGTAATCAGTGGTATGTTCAGTTGTGTGTATTAGACAAAATTACCTTTTGATCTGGAATATAAATCTTCCCAATTTTCCCTTGTATTGCATCTTTGATAACATTCTTCTCCTGAAAATCAAGAGCCAGAATTAGCATCATCATCTTAAATTGCAACAAAAAAAAAAAAGGGAACGCAAATTATAATTAGGCAAACCTTTTTCTTTGTTAATTCAGGGGCTATCTTCATTGCTTCTTTTCTCAGGCTGTCATCGGGAAGATGATGTCTTCGAACCACCATATCCATGGACAGACCAACTTCAACCAACGCCATCCTTGGCACTATAGTGCCAGACTTTAAGTCAGATTGCACAATGAGTAAAGAATATTTTGGTCTGAGGATATGGCTGTGCAAACATACACGTGGTCCAGTCCAGCAAGGTTCAAATTTTCACAACCTGCAAATTTGAGATTCGTACTTATCATGTAAAATATTTGAAAGTACATAACAGTAGCAGGGGTTCAACAATGACAATGTGACCAGAAGAGAACATAAGAATCCAAACAAACCTCTCCATGGAACAAGTCAAGTAAAATTTCTTTTATATGTTTCAGCTCATCAACACACTCAAAACCTTCTCCTATGAAAGCAAAAAAGGGTTCGACCCAATTTGAGGGGCCAATTTCTTATCGTATGCGAAAGAGTTCAGCTTTTGAAATTTTCAATCCCGATCTCTACAAGATCATAAATGTGGTGATCATAGGTTTGTCCAATAACAAGATTGTTTGGCTGCTTCTTTGAGTGAGAACCAAACTGCAAATAGAAAACTGGGAAAACATGTTATAATAAAATAAGAAAGTTGAAAACAGATTGTATTCCCTTCACTGTTCTACTTTGCTCAGCTGCTGTCTTTTATATGATTGGAATGACCATAAAAAAATAAACATAAGATGCAAATCTAGGAATATAATGGTCAGTACAAGTATTTTATCCCAAGAGATGTACGTTTTTATATTTGGTAGTGTTATTTGTTCGTTCGTTCATTCATTCATTCATATTTATCTGGATCAGGACAACTGTCAAGTGAAGAGGTCACGTCACGTATGATGTAAGACTAAAGGCAGGAATATAGTCCAATAAATGGATATGTCCATCAAATTTAGATGCATCTACTAGCTCCGAATTTTGAATGCCTACCTGCCACAAAAATGACATTTTTTAGAATCAACAACATAACGGGACAGATTGGAGCGCACTCCCTTGAATAAAAATCTAGGTCATTTACAAGACTATCTATCTTCTAGCTGACTTGCATCAACATAAATATCAGACCGTGAGCGTTTTCTGAAATATCTGAAAATTATAACTTGTAAAAAGTGGTGCCAAATATTATCCAATAACCAACTAGCATGCACTATGTATACCAGGTAAATACTTGGTCACTTATCTAATGGGTTATTAAACTTCCTTCACATTAGAATGTAACCGTGTATCGGTCTATGCTACAAACAGTTCTTACTAGTAGTATCTATCGAGGTATCCTAAACAGTTCCATTCATCACACTGTTATAGCATTTATCAGCCTATGCTACAAACAGTTCTTCTTATTTGTAGTATCAATCAAGGTATGCTAAACAGTTTCATTCATCACACTGTTATACGAAAGCTTCAAAAAATTCATCAGATAAATATACTTGGTGGTCCAGAACAATTAGATACTATACTTGGTGGTCTGTACTTGCAATTCAATAACCTAAGTTTTTCACTTGCCAAGCTGGACAAAATAATATGGGTTACCGGATTTTCAATGGCACATCAAATTTTTGTTTAGCCACACCACCAAGGCGAGATGGACAGAAATAAACTGAAACAACGATGAAGTTCATGACTAATTTGGAGTACAAAAAAGTTTCATGACGTAGCCCCCGTTTGATCCCCACTTTTGGGGAAAATAGATTTTGTAATAGTGATTTTTTTGGAAAACATGTGGTTAAAAAGTATATAAAAGTTTTGGGTTTAAGTGAAAAAATTGGAAGAATGTGTGGTTTAAAATTAGTGGGAGAAAGATGATTTTTTAGAGACTGGGGCTCGAACAAGGGCTAACCAAAGGTCCAAAACTATAAGTTAAGTAACTAACGGAGATTTTACCTACCAACTACCCACTACATAGTTGGCTGCCAGCAAACGAAGGAATTCTATTGTCTTCCTAAGCAAATTAAGTTCTTCAGAACTGAGAAGAACATTGATTTCTGGGACTTGATATAGCCGTCTGATATGAAATGTCATCACAATAAAATCAACTGAAGGTAATAATCTGGCACATTTTTAAGCTCTAAAACTGAGCTGACTGCAGCAAGGACAAATCTTGACCAACTCAATCAAAATGAGAAATTATCTCGAGTTTACAAACAGTAACCAAAATCAACCCTTTTTATTAGAGCACAGCAGTTCACGTGTTCAGCATTGCATTTTGGCGCCAATTGTATAGACTTAAAATTAGTTACAATTACAGCTGTAATACAGCTGCCATACAGCTATTTATATAGATTACTTGTATCCATTTTTCGTTTGAGAATCAATAATATAAAATATTCTTTCATCTTTAATATGGTATCAGGTTTCTTACTGATATGTGTGTTATTCAGGTTTTGCCAACAATGAGGATGATTGGCAAGGGTAAAAGGGCTGAAGATCTATACATCATTGATGCTAGTTGCCTTAACTCGATGGAAAATAATACTATTAGCTTTGAAAATTCTTGTAATTCTGTTCATTTGTAGCAAATAATGTACCTAGTCATGTTTGGCATTGTAGACTTGGACATTTGTCTTTTAAGAAGTTAGACATGTTGAGAAATTTGTTGAAATTTGATGTGAGGAAGAAAGACCTTTATGTTCCTTGTCTTGTATGTCCTTTGACTTAGCAACGAAGACTTTCATTTGTTTCTAACAATCATTTATCTCCTGCTGCTTTTGATCTCATTCATTGCGATGTTTGGGGACTCTACAATGTTGCTACACAGGCTGGTTACAAGTACTTTTTGATTTTGGTTGATAACTGCACAAGATTTACTTGGGTGTATTTGATGAAGCAAAAATCTGATGTTGCCTTTATCATTCCCAAATTCTTCTCCCTCATAGAGACTCAATTTAACAAAGTAATAAAGTGCTTTAGATCTAATAATGCTAAGGAGCTCAGTTTTAAAGATTTCTTCAATTCCAAAGGTGTAATTCATCAATATTCATGTGTGGAAAGGCCAGAACAGAATTCTGTGGTTGAAAGGAAACATCAACACCTCCTTAATGTCGCTCGTGCATTATTTTTCCAATCTAGAGTCCCTATTCAATTTTGGGGAGAATGCATCCTTACTGCCACTTTTCTAATAAATCGAACTCCATCACCAATTTTACAAAACAAGACTCCATTTATTTGCCTATACAATTCTCCAGTGAACTATCATCATCTTAGGACCTTTGGCAGCCTTTGTTTTGCCTCCACTCTATCCTCTCATAGAACAAAATTCCATCCAAGAGCTAAGGCATGCGTTTTTGTTGGTTATTCCCCAGTCATTAAAGGTTCCAAACTCCATGACATGGTTTCCAAAACATTTTTCATTCCTAGGGATGTTGTCTTCCATGAGCATATCTTTCCATTTCAATCAATTCCATCCTGTATTGGCCCATTGATACTTCCCCACATATAGTTTTGCCACACGTGCTTCAAGAATTGCCTTTGGAACATTCTCCCACAAGTCCTCCTACTACCAATAATTCTGGTGATATCCCTCCAGTCAATGATTCTAGCTCCATTCACAACTTAGATCAATCCCTTTCGAGCCTGTTTGAGCCACATTATAATGAAAATGAGAATGAGAATGAGAAATAGAGCCGTTATGGGCCTCACACCAGAGATAGAAATTCAAAAATGGTGCCTTGATGTGATGGATAACGGTCATATTTTTCATTTTAATGAGGTAAAAATGAGGCTCAAACAGGGGCTTCATCTATTTCTAGAAAAGGTATGAGAACACACAGGGCCCCCTCTTACCTTCGTGATTTTCATTGCAATCTTCTGACCAAAGCTTCCCCTCTTTCCAACACTTCCTTATATCCTTTATGCAAATACTTATCTTACAAAACATTTTCTCCCTCACATAACTCCCTTCTCTTCAATATATCTTCCACATTTGAACCCCAATTTCATTACCAGGCAGTGAAATTTGAACAATGGAGGAATGCCATGGCTGATGAATTGGCAGCCATGGAAGCAATCATACTTGGTCAATTACTACTTTGGCTAAGGACAAGCATTCCATAGGGTCTCGATGGGTTTATAAGATCAAGTTCAACTCAGATGGGAGTATAGACCGGTACAAAGCCCGGTTGGTTGCGAAAGGGTATACACAACAGGAAGGTTTAGACTTTATTGAAACTTTCTCTCCAGTTGCAAAATTGGTCACTGTTAAGACCCTTCTTGCTGTTGATACTGTTAAAAAGTGGCATCTTGTGCAGTTGGATGTCAACAATGCATTTCTTAATGGTGATTTGTTTGAGGAAATTTACATGGATTTAACTCTAGGCCAACCAAAGCAAACCTCAGTTGGTCCTCAGGGGGAGAAACTAGTGTGTAGACTTCATAAATCAATTTAAGCCTAAAACAAGCATCTAGGCAATGGTTTTCCAAATTTCCTCAAACTCTTTTATTGCCTGGTTTTCAGAATTCTAAATCAGACTACTCTTTGTTTACAAAGGGGTCAGGTGCTTCTTTCATTGCCTACAAGGTTTATGTTGATGACATAGTCATCATCGGATCAGATACTAGGGCAATTGATTCCTTAAAAGTCTTTTTGCATAGCCAATTTAAATTAAAGGATCTTGGTAAGTTGAAGTACTTTCTTGGCTTGGAGATAGCAAGATCACAAAGGGGTATTTTCCTTTCTCAAAGGCACTATACTTTACAACTCCTTGAAGATACTGGTTTTTTGGGTTGTAAACCAACATCATTGCCAATGGATCCTAAAGTAAAGCTCAGCTCCTTTGAAGGAGAGCCACCTGCTGATGCATCCCTTTATCGTCGACTTGTTGGCAGGCTACTATACTTGACCATCCCTCTCCCAGACAGCACATTTGCTGTCCACAAATTAAGTCAGTTTGTCTCAGAGCCTTGACAACCCCACTTAGATGCTGTACATCATCTCTTACGATATATCAAATCTGCTCCTGGTCAAGGATTGATGTTTGATGCACTTTCCTCGTTCCAGATTCGGGCTTTTGCTGATGCAGATTGGGGGTCATGTCTTGACTTGAGAAAATCAGTCATTGGCTTTTGCATATTTCTTGGAAACTCTCTAATCTCTTGGACGTCTAAGAAGCAAACCATCATCTCCAGATCTTCGGCGGAGGCTGAATATCGTGCTTTGGCCTCATCGGCATGTGAGATCATTTGGATTCAACAACTCCTTGATTTGCAGGTCGCAGCTTCTATTCCAGCATTGATTTACTGTGATAATCAAGTTGCCATTCACATTGCCAACAATCCAATTTTTCACGAAGAACAAAGCATAAAGAGATCGACTGTCACTTCATTCTGGATAAAGTCAACGAAGGTTTCATTAAGCTTCTACCAGTTCGCTCTCAACGTCAACTAGCTGACATGTTCGCTAAGCCGTTGCCTTCATCTCTTCTCTTCCCTCTCTTGTCCAAGATGGCTATTCTTAATCTACATAGTCCATCTTGAGGGGGAGTATTAGAGAACAGTAGTTCACGTGTTCAGCATTCCATTTTGGCGCCAATTGTATAGACTTAAAATTAGTTATAAGTACAGCTGCAATACAGCCACCATACAGCTATTTATGTAGATCACTTGTATACATTTTTCATTTGAGAATCAATAATAAAAAATATTCTTTCATCTTTAATACTTTTAATCACGCAATACATTCTTAAACATGAATTCAGGAGGAGGACCACGTATCTTCTATAAGTTAGCGGCAAGTCTTACCTAAAGAAATTTTTTTACCAAACATAATAGAATATTAGTACTATCTAACCTCCCAATAAACCTTTCTGTATAGGAACCAACACACATTTTCAATTGCTTTCACACAAGACTTGCAAAATAGGTCGGCACAGGTTTCACGCTTACCACAAACAAACTGCAATCTGTTTTGAGCGAAAAAAAATTCCAGAGAAGCTTCACCGCCACTCTCGAACGGTCTAATATTGTCATTTCTCCGCGAATACTTGACGGCATTATCCTTCTATAGATGATATACTTCTGTAAGTAGTGAATTCAACACGCTGCTAGTTTTTGTGCCGTGTAGTATTAACGTCTTCTTCCCAGTCTCCCCCTGAAAAAACTCAAACCTTCAATTATTAGGCACAAATTGAAAAAATAAAAATAACAACTTCATATTGACCAGAAACTGGAAACAAATCGCTGACTTACGAGTTTGTGGGCACGTTTTCCTATGTCTCTCTTGATTCTTCCTTTCTTCGTGGTCTTTATCTTCATCATGATTAGCTAAATTTTGGAGAAGAAAATGAAAAATAATTACAAATCAGTATTAACGTCTTCTTCCCAGTCTCCCCCTGAAAAAACTCAAACCTTCAATTATTAGGCACAAATTGAAAAAATAAAAATAACAACTTCATATTGACCAGAAACTGGAAACAAATCGCTGACTTACGAGTTTGTGGGCACGTTTTCCTATGTCTCTCTTGATTCTTCCTTTCTTCGTGGTCTTTATCTTCATCATGATTAGCTAAATTTTGGAGAAGAAAATGAAAAATAATTACAAATCAGAAAGAATGCTAGGGTTCAAAATTTGAAACTTCAATTTGCGGTTACTGGGTAATTGTTGAGAATCAGGGTTTTTGTAAACGGGTTTTAATAGAAGTTATCCAATTATAAAGTTTGGCCCATCTAGTTTTAATTGGGCCAAATTAATACTCGTAAAGAAATCTTTTGGGCCAAATAACAACCGGACCAATTTTAGTCGACCCAATTGCACTGCACACACACACACAATTCTCTAGCACATATTGAGAATTTAGTGGATTTACTTCATTCACACAATTCTCTAACATATTGATAATTTAGTATTGGTAGGTATGGAAAATTTTGTTTTGATTGAAATAATGACTATTAAACATATCTACTTCACCAATAATTGTTGACATCAAGCTCCTAATTAAATATTAGGGATGACAATGGTTTATTAATATTTTTGAATAATAATAACAATAACGGAGCACAAAGAGAATTTCTAGCAAAAAGAAAAGTACGCATTAAACAAAGGTTAGCACCATTCTTATTCATTAATAAATTCTACATCACGTTAGTGAATATTTGACGGAACTTAAATTATAATTTAAGCAAGTCAAACGCTATTTTATTCACACATTCTTTAGGATCTACAATTTTTACTAACTTTCATTCATTCAATTATTATTCACATATTTCATGGGATTCATAGCCAATTAAGTGCTTGTTTGAAAAATGTTAATAAGTTGATCAAAAGTTAATAATTAATTTTAAAAACATATTTTATGCAATCCACAATTTTTATTAAATTTTAACAAAAATTTCTAAAACTTTTATCAAAACAACCCCAAAAATTTGAATTAAATACTTCCAAACAATAAATCATGTTACCATCTCAAATATAACTGGTTCGCTTAATGAATGTCCTGCAAATTATTCACATTATTTTTTCCTTTTGGTAAATATTTTATTCATATTATTGTAAGTGCTTGTTTGGTAGAGATTTTGTTAATTGATTTTTTGACCGTTAGAGATAAAGTAAGTCTTACCCGTGAGAGAAGAATTCAAAAATAACGTTTGAAATAGTGAAATAACGATCAAAAAATTGATTTTAATTGGATTTTAAACTGTACCAAACATGCTCTGAGTGTTTTAACTTTTAAGCATTTTCTAAGCTTGGTCTGATATAATTTTGTCGTTGTTTGATGGGGATTAAAATCATATCTTTAATAGATTTTAATAAAAATTAATGAAATAAATGGTTAAAAATTGTGAATTTCATAATATATTTGATTAAAATTAACTGTGGAAATCTAATTTAAATTTTTACCCTTATCAAAACAAATGTAGCATACAAATGCCTTGACTACAAAAGTCATATTTGCTGACAACGTGATTGTTATCTGCCTTTAACATATTGAATTGACTTCAAAGTGTAAAGTACGTAATAATGATTACCTAATAATATTGTGT